GAGAGAGAGAGAGGGAGGAGGAGGTGGGAGAGAAATAGGTACGATAAGTAAAAAAATGCAGCAATTATGGTAATTAATAATATTTAAAAAACATTAATCTTTCAATAAAATGTATAATTTCAAAATAATTTTTAAAATTTATTTTATTCGTATCATCTGTTATCATTTACATATATATTTAATATATTGAATTAAGGTATTTATTTTTAATTTATTTTTATATTTATTTTTAAATTGATACATATTGAAATGGATTACAAATTTTATTACAAACATTATTAAATGATTATGTTAATTTATATTTTATTTTATGTTAGAAATTATAAATTACAATTTTTTTCTCACATAATTGTTAAATAGACGTTTTATTGTCACACGGTATGCAAAAATTTATATTCAATGAATAGCTTATAGCGAGAGGATAAGGGTTAAATAATATCGATATAATAAAATCAATATGTCAATAAAATATTACGTATTATTCCGATAGCTCTATACTTTGGAAAGCACTTATGAGAAAAATATTTTGAACAAAACTTGCAGGAAAGGGCTACATTACTATAGGCGATTTTTATAGTTATTTCTTAGACTTACTATTTTCTTAAATCTATATTTCAATCAATAAAATAATTATGTATCCAAAGAATATATTATTTTGACATCATAAATACATCATGATAAAAAGAGTTAACATAATGATATTTGTTTAGAAGATTTGATAACGAAAAGACGTTTTATAACGGAACACGTCCTATGTAATCCTATAATGGTATGAAAAACAAATTTTTCTTCACTATAATACTATAAGAATTATGTGTATTAAAAGTCACACATTCAAATAGAATATACGGACTTGACACTCGAGACATTACTGTATCTCCTGATGTTAATGTTAAAAATGTTATATTCCTGTAAAATATATGTGAAACAAATTTAATAACTGTACAAAATATTAAAACGCAAAATTTTTCCTTACTTTTTTGCATACTGACAGTGTTAAAAATAAATGTTCGCATTTTTAATCATATTCCTTATAAAGTAATATTCTTAACAGAGATTAAAAATTACTCACATTAAAAATTAAATACAATGAAGGAACTCGTTTATGTTTAATAAAACACATAAAAGAATGATTCTGAATGACGATGATTATATTGTTACGACCGAGAAGTGATCTGCTCGTTGTTGCCCCCAAAAGAAATCAATACTTGAAAAATCAATACTTCGAAGAGAGGATCGTCCTCTGACGACATGTCGCGGAGTGTTTCGATGTTCTTAATGACGCGTTGTTATTTATGTGAATATTTTACGCGGTGTCGAGGCAAACGGACATATATATAACAATTTTTATAAATATAAATCATAGGAGTGAGTTTTAAAAAAAATGTTAACTATGCTTTAATTATGGTTATGAAACGATTATATAAAGAGTATTAATATATATATTGCCAAATGTACAATGTGCATACGTTTATTTATTTATTCTTACAACAAACAATTGTACAATAACTTACAACAATGTTTAACTCAGTACATATATACAGATTCATATTTATATGAATGAATAGTGATTAAAATATTAGGAATACTTTTCTTCAACTTGTAATTGTGTCGCGTTTAGATTAAATTTTATTTTCTGTTCTTATGTACTAAAAATGATGTACTTCTTGTATGTATGTATGTACACACACGTGAGTATTATTTAACATGTACACATGTGAGTATTTAACAAAATGATCGAACAGTCTTGTGTCGTATGGAACAGAAGGATCAAAGGATCTGTTTTAAATCATTCTCGAGCAAATTCATTAAACACATGTTATTAAAATGCGATATTACTTTTTGATCGGTCGTATAATTTATAAATATAATAATTTGTTTTAGCTAAAAAGATCATCGGCCCAATAAATTAGTCCAAAAAATTTTTCACCCACATCGTTATGCAGTGAAAGTTAATCTAATTAAGTGATAATGCTATTGCGGAAATATGTGGCAACTTATCTATGCGAAAATCGAGTGACACAACGTTGAAGATCATTACGCGAATTTCACAGTTTCTCTCCGCTGAGATTGAGCACGTTATAATACGAATGATCCGGAAACCTGTCGAGTTCGATATAATCCGTTTCGTCAAGAAGTAAGCCTTCGGTTAAGTTGACAAGCTCAGCGAAGGATGGCCTGCATGCCGGATCCTTGTCCCAGCAATAGTACATTATATTATAGAGCTCCCTTTTACAGTGCTCAGGCCTGTCCAATCTGTAGCCTTCTTTGATTCTTCGCATTACCTGATAAAACATTTTGATATGATATTTTGATATATAATACATAAAAAATTATTGATTGTAATCTTTTATTTACCGTTTAATTTACTAATTTCATTAGTTTGATTTATCTCTAATGTTATGTATTAATTTAATTCAATTAGGTTTAATGTTTTTATTTTATTTTGAATTTAATCATATTTTGACCATTTAATTTAATTTTATGAATCTAGTTTTTATTTAATTTAAGTTTATATACATTAACTTTACATACAATTGTACCCTTTTAATTTAAATTAAATTGACTTAATTAAAATAAGATAAAAATATTAAATTAATTAAATTTAATTGATAAAAACTTATTTATATACTTATTTTCATACCTCTGCTGCAGCTAGTCCAGGATACGGAGTTGATCCTAATGTCACAATCTCCCAGATCAGGACGCCGAAACTCCAAATGTCAGATTTAACGGAGAATATATTATCATACAAGCTCTCAGGTGCCATCCATCTGATAGGCAATCTACCCTCGGATTTTCTTTCGTAAATCTGATTGGCTGCCACATCTCTGGCAAAACCGAAATCTGCCACCTTGCACGCGCGATTCTCATCGATCAGAATATTCCTGGCAGCCAAGTCTCTGTGAATAATACCTTTTGATGCCAAGTATTCCATACCTTTGGCAATCTACAAATAACAAATATACACAATTAGAATTTATTTCAAATCATCAAATTATTGCAGATTCTAATTAAAAATTTGTAATCCAATGATTTACCTGATATACAAAGCCAGTAAGATCCCTGGAGGTCAATCCCGCTCCCCCATGATTTCTCTCCTCTCTGGAGGCTCTGAGGAAACTTTGTAGCTTACCACCACTCACGTACTCCAAAATGACGAACATGGGTTCTCGTTCGGTGCAACATCCTAGAAGTCTCACCACGTTGGGATGAGGATCTAGATTCTTCATAACGCGCAATTCCTGCGCGAGATCCAATCGTTCTCGTTCGGTGGCGTTTTCTTTCAGAGTTTTTACCGCCACAATTGTGGGGCCGGATTTGCCGTCGATATCTACAGCTTCGCACTTCCATACTTGTCCGAAACAACCCTCACCAAGAATATTGAAAACCTAGAAATAATTAATTAACTAATTAGAACAGAATTGCTTGTATAATTAATTGGATAGGATTAGAATTATAACCATAATTTATTAATTTAATTGACTAGTCAATGTTATTTGATTTTAACAATGTAACAATACTCATGAATTAATTATCGATACTTTGTGTTTAATTAATAATTAAGTGGAATAATGATTATACTTTTAATCTATGTCTGGGAAATTCCCATTTATCCTCCTGTTTGTTCTGAATGCCTGCTTGGGATTCTCTCTCCCATGGCTGGTAACGATTACCATGAGCCTTTGAACCTCGCCATCTCTTCAGGACGAGAGAAGGATCATCAGACAAATTAGAAACACTAACTGACGCCTGTTCTTTCTGAAAAACCAAAGAAATCATATTTTATTTCATTTGGATCAAAACAATGTGAGAATTAATATATTTTCGAGATAAAAGAATTGTTTTCTTTCTCTTTCTTTATCTTTTCTTTTTTTGAATTAATCTTATTTTTAATACCGTGTCTGTTTTGGATTTGCGGCTGCCGCAAAATCTGTTCCTCAAAGACCAGACGCCCATACCAAGACCCACAATGAGGGCACATCCAGCTGCTACTGGCACCAATGTCATCGCCATGTCCTGCGAAGGCGGCGCAGCAGAGGGTGCGACCTTTGAACTCAATGCAGGACCCTCTACTTCGTTCACCTGGACGCTCTCTTCAGTGATGGTACTGACAGTACTGGTGCCAACACTGACGTCATTCTCTTTAGGTTTCACTTTCTCCAACTCGAGTTTCGTAGTTTCAAGATGATACTGTTTTGGCGGCAAAGGGGGTAATGGCGAGGGAAAGGGCGGTCGATTTGATATACTGAGAGGGAAAGGCGGTCGTATCGGGCCACGGGAACCATGATTTGGTTTCCTATTAAAAGAATAAGTCAAAAATAATTTTTTTAATCCATAATTGTTAATAAAATAATATCAAAAGAAATCTTCCTTTAATTTAATAGTAGTAATAATTAATAATTAATGTAATTTCCAGGCTTTTCAGTAGTGTTTTATTAAATAAATGTTTGTCATAATTTCCTTTATAAATATTAAATTTTTTGCTAATTAAATTGTCAATTGAATTTTGACAATTTTCTGGTAAAAGATGATTTCTTTTGACAAGTACTACTTATACTATACAATTTTTGTTCAATTATCGTTGTTCTATTAATGAAGTACAGTATGATTAATAAAACAGATCATTGCTATATTCTCTTAAGATCACATGCTACTTTTTGTTACTTAAAAAAAATACTATTTTGCAAATTTGTTTCATTTAATATAATTTATATTGAAATACTGTGATCCTAAACATTTTTCTAAGTATAATAATAAGAAAATCAATTTGCATTAAATTAAAATAATTATAGTTAGCAATTATAATAAATTTTATACTTTGCAGAAATAATCTTTTAATCTTTGTATATATA